GGGGTGTAAAGGATCGGCTGTTGAAATACAAAGACAAAATTAACAAAATATAAGAAAGTGGAGTTAAAGGAACAGTACGCGTAATTTAACGTGACCCTACACACTGTCGTTTTTCGTTTAATTTTGATAATTCTTAAATATTTTCCTGCAGTAGAAAAGCTCAAGGCACTTTTGTAGAGAAACCACAATCGAAAATAATCAGTTTTCAAAATTAAAACAATAATATCTAATTCATATATCTTGATAAAACAAAGGTTTTAAGAGTACCTTGTGAATCTAAGAAAAAAAATAATTTTAATAAATTACGAAAAGAAAATAAAGACCAACGAAGATGATAAAGAGGGATGAAGAAGGAAGTTTGGGGAGGGGGGATTTAAACCAAGAGAGGGGGAAGTGGGGGGATTATTGTGGGATTACAGTCCCCCTAAGACCACCCAATGTGATATTTTTTCTAATGACCCAGCGTTGTTGGATACTTAATCATAATTATTATCGGGGTAAATATAAACAAAAAAACAAATTACAAAAAAATAACATTTTATTTTTTTTTAGGAACTATCCGCGTCGTCTTGTGAATGCGACACATCCTCAGCTAGTCGCAGATCCCGTCGTAGTTCTCTTAAATCCCGTCGACGAGTCAATAACACAGTGTCGAAAAATAACAATAATAATATAGGTAAGTCGACTTTTTGTAATAGTGATACATTTTTTTTCTTCTAAAATTTGTTTTCTTCCAGGAAGTACGAAAGCTGAATGCTACCAAGGCCAAAGTCCAAGTTCTCCGTTGGGGGGCAGTGGCCCCCCTGGTTCCCCTGTGGGCAGAGGTCCCCCTGGATCCCCTGGATCCTCTAGGGGCAGCCGAGGGTCACCAGGTAATAAGATTTGTTTTATTTCCCTCATAAAAATTACTCCATATATTTCACCCCAGTAAACTTTCTTTTTCTTACTCCTTCCCCGAAGAAGCCCTACAGCTCTCTTATTTTGACCTCCACCTCCTCTCTCCGAAATTTCTCCCATGTCTAATCTAGAAGCTTCCTTTTCTTTCTACCTTACTGTGAGAATGTTTAAATCAAGTGTATTTCAGTAGTTTAAACAGAAGTACTTGAAAACCATTTTAAATAAGTTTTTAGTGTGAAGAAAACCGAGCCTGCATAATTATTTCTCATAATTAGGAAGTTTTTAGCTAAATTTGACAATTAAAAACGATTATCATTGCTCAGTTTTCTGTTTAACCCATTAATGACCAGACTCTATTTTCTCCAGTGTTTGCTTTCAATGTATATTAATTATGTATGAAATATTTTTTCATGAGAATTTTCAAAATATTTCACTTTTTTTCAAAGAACGGACGTTAGACGGCTTTGAATGGAATTGTTGGTAATTGACCCTTTTTCTTTTTCTATCCAACAAAAGAAGATTTGAAACCCTATTCAACCTAACTGCCTTCATTTACACATTTTCAATTTTCATCTTTAACCTACAGTGAACAACAATATAAAGTGGAGTGTGTAACGAGAAAATTGAGAAGCATGTCACCAAATTTAAACTACAAAAAAATAATATCTGAAAATGCTTTGGCACAATTTAAAGATATTAGACGTATAAAAAAATAAAAACAGCAATTTTTCCGTTTAATGTTGTCGCCAATATTTAGTGTCAACATTTCTCAACATGAATATTTTGTTTTTTTTTATCATAAAATTTTTTTGAAAAAAATGAGGAGACACAATGTTGGGTCCGGGAAGGCGGTATCAAAGTAACACTCATGATTCAATGAACATGGTATTATTTTTGTAATCCTTCAGGGTTTTAACCTTCAAGAATGCGGAATATATTTAAAGGGTGTCTCTGCAAAAATACGTAAAAAGCTTCATTTTAAAAATGCACACAGCAAATTCATTAAAAAAATGAAGAAACTATTATATGAATTGGATGGATACATCAGAGTATTATAATGTTAAAACCCAATTTTTTTATTTGAATTTTTGAAACATCCTACTACGGTAGTTTATAGGTTGAAAATAAAGTATAGGGTAGGTCAAGGTGGGGGGGGGGGTGCCTTTCAAGCAAAACTAGGGGTTTGCATGCAAAATAGGTTTTTTGTTTGGCTAATGATACAATAGATGTACACTCTGTGTATTAATTCTTTTACGGAGTATCATGTAAATCCTTGTGTATTCTTTTGGTATCATGTATTCGTGTATCAATGTTTCCGTGTATACTTTATCCTTGTATATTTGTAGCCTTGTTTATTTTTATCCTTGTATTCTTTTATCCTTGTATTCTTTTAACCTTGTATTCTTTTATCCTTGTATTCTTTTATCCTTGTATATTTGTATCCTTGTATATTTGTATCCTTGTATATTTGTATCCTTGTTTATTTGTATTCTTGTATTCTTTTATCCTTGTATTCTTTTATCCTTGTATTCTTTTATCCTTGTATATTTGTATCCTTGTATTCTTTTATCCTTGTATTCTTTTATCCTTGTATATTTGTATCCTTGTATATTTGTATCCTTGTAAATTTGAATCCCTGTATATTTGTATCCTTGTATATTTGTATCCTTGTATTCTTTTATCCGTGTATCCTTGTATCCTTGAATCTATGTGGATCCATGTATTCATGTATCAAGGCCTCTATGCATCCATTCATTTTGTATCTTTGTATCCATGTTTCCTTTATCTTTTGTTTCCTGTATCCATGCATTCAATTGTATATTTTTATCCTGTTACCTTTATCTTTTATATCCATAAATCCATGTTACCATGTATCCTAGTAAATTTTATCAATTTTGTTTCAGTTTCCATATTTGATTGCGTTCTATAATCTATATTTCTATTCAACCTAAATAATTTAAAAAAAATTCGCGCATTACGTATTTTTTTAAAGGTATATTATATCGGATCCCCTGACTCATTTGTTTTGCTGATGTATATAAAATATATATATGAAATATTTTATATTCTTTTATTTCATTCTTCTCTGCACTATCCATTCTCTGTATTCTTGTATCCTGTATCTTGTATTGTATATTTGTATCCTGTATCTTGTATTTGTATATTTGTATCCTGTATCTTGTATTTGTATATTAGTCTCCTGTATCTTGTATTTGTATATTTGTATCTTCCCGAATACGAAACTTGAAAATGCAATTTTCTAAGTGCACCATGTTGCAAATTTATTTCATCCCATACATTTGCAGGCTTATCCATTTAATCTTATATATCTATTCAAAATAGATTTTATTGATATTATTATTATTATTATTATTGTTATTATTATTATTATCATTTTATCATTATTACTGTTATTATT